TACCACTGCACTGGCTGTAAGACCTTTTCAGGCAGAAACCATAAGATGGTTACTTTGAGAAATAAAGGTTTCACATCAGGAAATGTTTTGTTGTCAAGGGAACATTTAAGGAATCTGACATTTCCCTGAACCAAGATTCTGTGTCTACAAATGTCATAGTCCAGAAAATTGTGTTTCATCATTCTTATTATAAATAAATGTACCATTCTGACCATTCTGGCAAGTTTTGCATTGCCAGCTAATTTTTTACTTATTCTTCTAAAGAATGGTTTTTAGGTTTTTTTTCTTTTAAAGCATTGTTTTATGTAAGCTAAGATACAGTTACCTTTGAGTGGTCATCTGCTTTTGAGGTTAGCAGTTTGTCACTGGAAAAAAAAAATTGTAACTCAAATGCAGAACTTAACCTTTTATGAAAATTAATGGTAAGGACTTCTGTTTGAGGGAGTTTGGCAGATTATATATTCTGAATAACCTCCCAGTTGAAACAACTGAAATGCTGTAAAAAATCTATAAAGCATCTTTCTAAGTATATTGCTAAGTTGGCAGAAAAAACGAAAAATCATAGACACCAAAGATGAAATGAAAGCAGGAATCCTGGATTGTCCCTAAATGTTTCTGCGGGGCCTTGGAGGCTGAGCTTCTCTCTGTTGGCCACCTAGGGCAAGGGGGATGGAAGATAAGGCCTCTAGTTCTCCATGGCTGAGAGTCTAATGAGTGTAAGGGTGATTGAGAAATAAACCTACCAGTGGTGGAGCTGGGGGATGAGGGGGAGGGAGGGTATAGGAAAGAAACCTACCTGTCTTTACCTTGGCACTAATGAAAGGGAAGGGGAGGCAGGATGTAAATTCTCCTAAAACATGAGAAAGGCTGACCTTCACATGGGAGCAGGTTATCTTGATTGTGCCTATGATGTCCAAAAATCCTCAGCCAAGAATTTAATTTAAAGTGCTCCCAGGTCGGTTGCCTCCCAAGAGAGAAGGAGAAGCCAAATACAAATCTTCTCTGGAAGAGTGCCACTTCAACTCAGGCCTCCAAAAATTCCCACAGATAATATTTCAAAGGAAATTAGTTCACAATCAAAAATCACAAATCAGGGCCCTGCCCAGTGGCGTAGCAGTTAAGTTCGTGCACTCCGCTTCAGCAGCCTGGGGTTCGCAGGTTCAGATCCTGGACGCAGTCCGACACACTGCTTGTCAAGCCATGCTGTGGAGGCATCCCATATGAAGTAGAGGAAGATGGGCACAGATATTAGCCCAGGGCCAATCTTCCTCAGCAAAAAGAGGAAGATTGGCAACAGATGGTAGCTCAGGGCTAATCTTCTCACACACACACACAAAAAAATCACAAATCAGATGAAGAAATTCACCAGCATGAGAAATGGAGCCAGCAGAAACACCAGAGTGGAATTATCAGATTCCTAATGTAAAATAAGTACATTAAATACACTTTTAAAAATAAATGATTGTGATGCTGCTTTTACAAAAAATAAAGAAGAAGCTTGGAAGCATAAGCAAGAAATAAGATACTGTAAAGAATGACCAAACAGATTTGGAAGAGATTAAATGGAACTTCTACAAATAAAGAATATTAATATTAAAATATTCAGTTATTTGGTTAATGAAGAGATTAGACACAGCTGAAGAGAGAATTAATGAAATGGAATATAGATGTAAAGAAATTAGCTAGATGCAGCCTACCAAAAAGTAGAAAGAATATGAGTGGTTAAGAGACATGGAAAAGAGCAAATCGTTCTAGAAATGATAAACTACATAATTGGGACCAACCATTCTGCAGAGGACAGCTGGCCTAAGATATTACCATGAAAATGGTATAGCTGTCTTAATATCAAAGTAGACTTTAAAGTAAAAAGCAATTATTAGAGCTAAAACTTCATAACCGTGAAAGGTTTAATTCAGTTTTATTTAAATATAATAATTCTAACTTTGAGTCAATCTAACAGCATGATTTCAAAATAAAGAAAGCAAAAATTAACAGAACTACAAGTAAAAATAGACAATTTTTACAATCATAGAGAAATATTTTAACAGACCTTTCCTGTGACTGATGGAAAACAATGGCCCCCCAAAAATCAGTAAATATATAGATTTGAACAATATAATTAAAAAATGACTTAGACATATTTAGCATATCACACCCAAAGGCTGCACTATACACATTCTTTTCAGTCACATACAGAAACATTTAAAAATCATTTAAGGAAAAAAAGGTTAAGCCATAGAGCTTTTCTCCATAAATTTTATAAGATTGAAATCATACAGAATATGTTCTTTGAGCACAATAGGATTTAGCCAAAAGTCAATAACAATAACCAGAGGATGAATAATCTCACAAACATAAGTCAAGTGAAAGAAGTCAGACACAAAAGAATACATGGTGTATGGTTTCATTATATATCAAGTTCAAAAATAAGGCTAAATTAGACTATAGTGTTTATGGATACATATTAAGGCAGAAAAAGGACAAAGAAAAATAAGAAAATGATCACCATAAAAGTCAGGATGATGTTTACATTCAGGAGGGAGAGGGGCTTGTTCAGAGCATATAGTGCAAGAAGTTCCTCCCCATTCTGTTATCAAAAATGTATTGACTCTCAGGGGCCGGCCCGGTGGCATAGTGGTTAAGTGTGCATATGCTCTGCTTCACAGTGGCCCGAGGGTTCGCAGGTTCAGATCCAGGGTACGCACCGAGGTACTGCTTGTCAAGCCGTGCTGTGGCAGCGTCCCATATAAAGTAGAGGAAGATGGGCGGAGGTGTTAGCCCAGGGCCAATCTTCCTCGGAAAAAAAGAGGATTGGCATCGGGTGTTAGCTCAGGGCTGATCTTCCTCACAAAAAAAAAATATATATATATATGTGTTGACTCTCTTTACGTGCTTAGTCTTCCAGATGAATTTTAGAATGATATTGTCAAATTCTTTAAAAATCTCATTTGGATTTTTATTGGAATTGTGTTCCTCTGGGATTATTTGCACCTTTGAAATATTGAGTCTTCCCATCTAGGAATATGGTGCTTCCAGTTATTCAGGTTTTGGTTGTTGTTTTTAAGATTCAATTTAACAAAAAGTTCAGAGATTACACATTTCATGTTAACTGCATTTCTAAGTATTTTATTAATTTTGCTTCTATTGTAAATGAGGGCCCCTCCCCCCATATTTTCTAACTGGTTATTGCTAGCATGTAGGAAAACTATAGATTTTTTTAACTGCTTTTTATTAGTTTTAATTTCAATTGTTTATTTCAAAACAATATTAGTGTGTTTTTGTTGTGGGATAGGCATTAGTAGTCATTTTATAATAATTTTCACATTTACTTACTATTCCTCATTTATAGTTAGAAAATGAGGCTTAGCAGGAGATGAAGAGATTGCTTGAGATAACACAACTGAAAAGCCGTGAAGCTGGGCTTTTAATCCAGTTATATCTAACTGAAAAACTCTCTTTCTACCATGGGATTATATTTTCCCTGATAAATTTAATTCAACAACAAATTATATAAAGATATTATGCTGTGGAGATGAATGAGATAATGAATGTAAAATCACCAGGAATATAAATGAACTATGCAAATTAATGTAGCAATTTCACTGTGAAATTGAAGGCAGAAGATTAATTGGAGAATAGCTAAGATCTGGCATTGCCTCTCAGGACTTTAGAAGTCATAGGACTTTTTTGTTTATAAAACTTTCGAGATGTACTCTGAACCTTTATGTCTGATACATCGTGAAGCAGATGTCTTCCCAGTGGTTTTTTTTTTTTTTTAAATATTAGAAGTGGCATTTAGTGAACCATTTAAATGATAATAATAGCACATGTAAGATTTTTTTTTAGTGATAACCGTCTCCAGACTAGTTCTTAGGACTAAAGGACTGGAAGGTGTTTCTCCCTTCACTCAACACCAGTGTTATTTTGCGCCTTTAAGGTCTCGGCCACTCTCTTTAGATGCTGAGTATTAAATAGTGAATAAAAAAAGACAAGTTATAGACAAGCAATTAAGTACATATCTTGAGAGAAATGTTGTGAAGAAATGATCTGGGTGCTGATAAGAGGTGCCTTGCCCTTTGAGAGCGGGCCAGGCAGGGGAAACAGCCTGCACCAAGGCCCTGAAGCGTGTTTTAAGGACCCTAACAAAAGCCCGTGTTGCCAGAGGACTGGAGGGGCATGAGGGGGTAGGGTTGGAAGAAGCTGAGGTTGGCTAAGTGGGCAAGGACTGTGACATGCAGGACCACGGAGACTATGAAAAGGAATTTGGATTTTATTCAAAGAGTAATGGGGAAGTTTCTAGAAAAGGTACCAATATGGACCAATTTAGGATATTAAGACATCATGGTGGCTGCTGTACTGAGAAGAGTGGCAGTGGAAAGACCAGGTGAGAAGCTAATGCTGCAGACCAGGGTGTCCCACCCTCAGCACCGTTGATGTTTTGGGCGGGCTAATTCTTGGTTGGAGGGGCTGTCCTGTGCACTGAAGCACATTTAGCAGCATGTCTGGCCTCTACCCACTAGGTGCTAGTAGTAGCTCTCCTCTCACCTTCCAAGTTGACAACCAAAAATGTCTGCAAGGTATTTCCAAAAGTGCCCTGGGGGCGTGCAATTGTCCCCAGTTGAGAGCCACTGCCGTAGACCAGGAGGGAAATGCGGAAGACTTGGAATGGGGTGATGGCAAGAGAGGTAGAGAGAAGTGCTCAGGTTTGAGACCCTCAGGTAGAAGAGGATTTACCAGATTATGTAAGGTGGGGGGGCTGAGAGGAGAGCTCCCTCTCTCTCCTCCAATGCAAGGCTTTTCAGGAAAAAATTCCTTCACAATTTTTAAAAACCTTAAAATTCACCCATGTTTGTCCTTGCTCTTTATCAAGCCTTAGATCTTCCAAGTATTGTGTCTGCTCTGGGTTTTATAAACAGAAAAGGTCCACCCTCCCCTCCCTGCACACAAACCACACCTTTTTAAACACTAGAGAGGTGACATGGGTGCTTGTCTCTCACCAGGAATCCTGAAGTGGGTGAAACTGATCGACAACTTTGAAGGGGAATATGACTACGTGACCAACGAGGGGACAGTGTTCACCTTCAAGACAAATCGCCATTCTCCCAACTATCGCCTGATCAACATCGACTTCACGGATCCTGAGGAGTCTAAGTGGAAAGTGCTTGTTCCTGAGCACGAGAAGGATGTCTTAGGTAAGATTGCTGCTTGAAAATTGTGCTTTTGTTTTTGCTGAGAACATCAACAAGTTGGTGCATCTCTCGTTCTCTGGTGACCGGTTATAAGGTAAAGAACCTTCAACCTCTTCTCATTAGGAATAAAGTGTCTAAATAGCACAACCAAGTAGTTACTATGTGATATCTTTGTACTTAGTACAATATCATGCATGGTCTTCATAAAAATGGTGAAGGTATGAATCCAGACTTTCAAAGGTAGTTTTTTTTTTATTATCAGTTGTTTTTGTATAGTTATTGTCTGATAATAATCACTAACATTTAATTTTTTAAACCATTCGTATTCAGAATCCTTAGCTTTTAGCTTTTGAATAGCCTTTGGTTATTTGTATTATATCTATTATAGATCTTAGAGTGCAGTCACAGTCCTCTTATTAGAAAGGAAAAGAGACTATTGTCAGATTTAATTGAAATCCTTTGTGATTGCTGTGTGACCTGAGCTACATTAAACTTTTGAGAACCTCACTTCTGTATCAATCATGTTTCAGAATGCCTTTAAGTTCCCTTTTATTCGTTTTCTCTATGATTTTCCAAAAATGATACGCAGCATTATAAATTATTTATTGCCTGAAAGCTCGATTTGATTAGAATAAGACTCGCTAATTTTGCTACAGCTTTTTACACAAAAGGAAAGTCCAGTACCTTCAAGCCAATGAAGAGTTTACTTGTTGGAGGTGAACTTCTGCTGATGGGACGAATGAGGATAAAATCTAGGGCCTTCCCCGAATGCGAAGGTGTAAGATATATAATTAGAAAAAGAATTCCTTTTGAGATCTGCAGAGTGGCCTGGCTCAGATAAAGCAGTCCTCACATGTCTTTTTCAGTGAGTTAAAGCACAGGTATTGGGGTCAGACAGATCCAGGGTCACGTCCTGGAAGAGTAAGGAGCTCTTTCTCCCCTGGCTCAAGGCAGGGTGCTCTGTGCCTGGCGGATATTTAAACCTGGCCTTGCTTAGTGGGTAGAGGGGGAAGGTAGGCGGATGATGACAGCTGACACTCAGGGAGTGCATCCTACGGGGCTCCGAGGGCCCATGTGTCTGCAGTTCCCTTGGCCCTGGAGGAAGCACTGCTCTGGGTGTTTGCTTGAGATTCTCCTCAGCCCCTGGGCATCTGGCCGCACCCTCCACCCTCTTGTGTACTGAGGTCTCCACACCCCTCCAGGCAGTTCTATTGGACGGGACCCAAGACAACCCCCTCTATGCTCTTCCCTGCAAAAGCCACATCTGCAGCCCCCAGGCAGCAGCCCATCCCGGGCTCTTCCCCTAAAGGACTTACTTATCTTGTCCTGCCTTCTAGATGTTCCAGTCACAGTCCCTTTAGCTTCTAGGTTTGGTTTAGGTGCCAGTGCTCTGTCTCTGTAGGGCTGGGGTTCTCCGCAGTGGGGCGGGGGACTCACAGCCTGACAGGGTCTCTTTCCAAGGAAATCTCTTCACCTGTCTCCTCAAAACCTTCCATTGACTCCCTGACCCTCGTTCATAATTGGATGAAGGACCCAGCCATGAGTTGTAGAACAGGTTTTTGGCCATTTCCTTTAACATCTTCATGTGAGGAATCTGGTTTACAGTGACTTCGGTAGCCTGATGGCTTCTGTCCAAGCTGAAACAGAACGTCCGCCCAAGGGTGGTAAGAGGCAGCATGTAGTGAGTGCTTCCTAAGCACCACATGAGTGGACTTCATGTATTGGTGGGTCCAAATGAGACCTTGATGGCATAAGTCTTCATATAGGGTGCCCTGGGCATTGTTCAGGTGCAGGTCAGGTTGGAATAGTGATTCTTGTATAGGGAAGGTCATCAGAGATGTAAATATTTCCCAAGGCATGTGAATTTTCTGCCTTCTAAGGCCAAAACAAGTGGTTTGAACTATGCCTTAAGGTGACATCCCATTTCACTTGTAGATCTAATGAAATGTAAATCGATGCTCAGAGATTTTGGGAGGTGATATATTTTTATACCCTTCCTTCTGAAAAGTTATACGTTCTTTAGACTGGAAAGGGGAAACCTTCAATATTCACTAGAACTCATCAATTCAAAGAGCAGCACAGTTGAATTTGCTATATATCATTAGCACAGAATGCCCTATTGAGAATAAAAGCTAGCGATGAGTCATAAAGTACAGCTATAAAGTCAGAGCTTTTGTTAACGACAGTCTACAAATCACCTTGTCCTTTTCTGATTCACTTTGTCTGTTTTATAATTCTGATGTACCAGTAGTTAACACAGATTGATTATTCTTTGACAGAAATAATTTACTCCAATTTTTCCCCATGCTTTCTTTAAACTGTTAGGGCTCCATGACATATATTGCTTGATGGAGGCACTTTAAAAAAATTGTTCTGGAGAATGAGCAAATTACTTTTAGATGTAAGAGTTCTTTCTATCCTTACTTGAGGAAAAGTTTGCTGTGGTAATCTAAACAACCCAGGGAGGCCCCTGGTGATCCTGAGTTTCCTCTGGCCAATGACTTGCTCGTATTGATGGTTGATCATGTCATAAGAGTGAACTACTAGTTTCTTAGGTTATAAAAATAAGCGGTGTTAAGAACCCCACCACCTCACCTCCCACCATGCAACCCAGAAAAGGCTTGACTTTTCCACGTTTGAGCTGTTACCTGGAGCCCGGTCCTTGCTTCCGTTTGCCACAGCATCTCTCCCTGCAGATGGCCTGTCCTTACCTCAGGCTGACCGTGTCCAAAACGAAATGGATTGTGCTCTGTGCCTGCCCTGCTGTTTTCTCCTTTCCCCATCACCTCGCTCACCTCCACTCTCCCAGCTCTGTCACTGACAGCACCATTACTCAAGTTGCCACCCTGGGAGTTGGGGAGGACTCATTTCTCTACCTTACTCTCCATCTCCCCACAGTCACCAAGTCCTGGTGATTCTTCTTGGGAAATGCCTTTCATTTCTTTTCTTTCCTCTGCAGACGTTATCCCCAGCTTGATTTGATTTGACTGGCTTATTGCAGTAGTGTTCTTCCTGGTCTCTATTCCATCCTTCAGTATCCGTCCATTGTTCTACATCCTTCACTGATGTCATCTTGATCTATGTCACCCTTCTGTCCAAACAGTAGCTCCTCAGTAACAGCTAAGTCAGAACTAAACTCCACTCTGCCTGGCTCAGCGAATCCCCCATCAGACCCCCACCACCATCGCCACCCACCCCCGCACTGAGCAGCTTTTTTCTTCCTGAAAATGGGTCTCTCACTTGTTCTTTTTACCAGTCTCCCTCCCTCCCTCCCTTCCTGCTGTTCGTTCGTATTCCTTTCCTTTCTCCTCATCCCTAGCACTGACCCTCATTCATTGAGTCTCCTGTCTTCCCACCACCTCGTCCCCCGAGAGCTGTCCTGTCCTGACACCACCCCAGGGACACCCCGTCTCCACACTCCTGTACTTGAGACACGGTTCAGCACCTGCTTAAGGGCTGTCACTTGTTTTGGGTCCCCACCAACCACTCCCTTTCCTTTGTTTACATGTTACTGCTTGTATTTCTATAGGATTGTGTCTCAAGGGCAGACGTTGCGCCATCTTCCTGCTTGTCTCTCCAGGGTATCTGGCTCATACCAAGGGCTTAATACATTTTTTGTTGAATAAACAACCCTGACAGATATGGATCATAGTTTGGTTTTTGTTGTTTTCCTCTTTATATCTCCTGCAACATGATATTGGACACAAAATCAGTGGGCAGGGTTATATGTATTACATACATTATCTAGATCGTCAAAATCCCCTGGCCCAAGGTGGAGAATATTTTGTTTCCTCTGGACTTAGAGTGATGATTTATTAAAGAAATATGCCAAAAACTATGAATGATTAAAACCAATTATAAAGTCACTTTGCAAGTCTCATTGCTGCATAGCCCAATGTGTAGCTCAAGAACTATTGTTTGATGAAATAAATATGCTTTTCACTAATTTTCAAGACGACATTAGGTTTTATCTATCCTTATCTTTTCAGAATGGGTAGCTTGCGTCAGGTCCAACTTTCTGGTGTTATGCTACCTCCACGACGTGAAGAACGTTCTGCAGCTTCACGACCTGGCCACTGGTGCTCTCCTCAAGACCTTCCCGCTCGATGTCGGCAGTGTGGTGGGATACAGTGGTCAGAAGAAGGACACCGAGATCTTCTATCAGTTTACTTCCTTTTTATCTCCAGGTGAGAGTCTTTTCACTAATGTTGTTCAATTTAAAAATCGGACTAATATGTGGGTTTCTTTTGGGAAATGGAACTATAATGCTATGTTATTGAAAATCACATATGCTGCATTATAGCCAAAACTACTTCCTGGGAATAAAACAGACGCTCAGAGCAAAGAGAAATGTGCACGCCTAAAACTGTACTCTCATTTATCTTATATCCTGAATGTCTGTCCAGGGGACAGCACCAACTGTTGTTTTAGGTTGATTTAAAAAATTAATATGAACAAGTATAACCTTAGATTCAGGCTTTAGGCTATGTATACCAGGACACACACAGTGCAGATAACTAAAAGCATAAAATAAAAATCTGTAGTCACATCTGACATTAAAAAACTGCTTTGTAGAACAAACCGAGAATAAATTCTGCTTTTGTTAAACTGACTTAAAATATAATTCTAAAAGTATAGTCTTACATCATTTAGAAAAAAAACTTGTTACTTGGGTCTAGTAGAAAAGAAAAATGATGCTTGTAAATTGCGATTTTACATTTCACAGTATGGGTTAATTTTCCCCAAAGTAAACATAGCTCTCTTTTTAACTTTTTTAACTTGGTCACACTCATTTTGCTTTGTTTTGATTTTTTCCTGCTTCTCCACTTGGCTGCACTGTTTTTGTTATAGCTGAAGCCATAGCACATACTCTGAGTTGTCCGAGGAGCCTGGCTCACTTGGCAGTTTGCAGTTGACCGGGCAGACCCTATCCTAAAGGCAATATGGCTGAAACAATTTCTACACTTTCCTTCTTTGTTTTTTAAGCTCCTCCACAGCCCTTTTTGTCCTTCCCAATTTTGTTGCAGTAGTTTTGTCCTCAGCAAATAAAGCAGACATAGGGGAGAGCCAGGCAGATGTTGAAGTAGCTCCATCCTCCTGGGGTTTAGCCAGATGACAGTGATGCCTCATCTACTTGTTTTTGCACCCCAGAGTCACAGAGCAGGCATCTATAAGGAATCTTATCCTCATGACAGGTGCTGTCAGGGTTATTAAAACCGAAAGAATGATGTTCTGTAGGTAGGTCTGCTGCTATACCTGGAACACCTGGCAAGCTTTCCTTGCCCACACGCCTTTCAGAGGACCTAGGGGGGCTAGGAGAAGTGCCCACGAGGGTGTGGAAACCATGCCCAGGGCCAGGAGTCAGGGACTCATGGGTCAAGAACTCCGCATCAGGGTGTCCTGCAACTCACCCCTCCTCCCTCGGAGCCTGGGGTACAGTGGCAGCCAGTGGACAAGAAACAAGAAAAATCAGTTTCCTCCAGATAGCCATTCTCAACCCACTGCTGTGGCGTCTGCATTTATTTCCTCAACTTATACTAGTTCCAGAAGTTTTACTTTGGAAAATCTCATAGCTTAAACAGTCTCAATGGATAAAGGGCAATGAGGACGACAGAGTCAGTGTGAACCACCTGCTCTTAATAAAAGCCAGAGTCCCCACAGGCCTCTAAACCACCTTCAGTGACCCCATGTGGCTGTTTATTTCAGGAACAAGCTCATCTTTACCTGGGGAAGAAAGAGCTCATTGTCCTAGTGTAAAATGATGGGTTCTATGCCAAGCAATGAAATATTATCCACGACTGTGGCTGTGAAGTTTGAAAAGAGACGTGTGTTCTTAGTTCTGTACTGCCAGGCAGCTTTGAACAAGCTTTAATTTGTTACTGTAATGCTTTGTTCTTTCCCTTTGTCTTTTCTTATTCATTTTGCCTCCAGCTTTTTCTTTTCTCTCCTTAATGCAATTTGATATCTAAAACCAGAGAACGGGGGCTTCCAGACTCAGGCCTTCCCGTCCAAATGTAAAAACGACCATCAGGTAATTAAACTAGATCTCTTGAAAGCAAGAATGGTCAGTGTGTGTAAATACACAGTCATACACATATATGTCAGCTCACAGGCTGTCGTGCACTGGTCTCTGAAGGTTCGCTGTCCACTACCGTGGTAAACAATAGGACACTAAATCATAAGTAAAGCCCCAAGGCCAAAAATAACTGCAGCTCCAGCTGCTGCGGACATGTGGTACATCTGGCTAATGCAGACCAGCTGACTTCGTTTCCCATGGAGACACATAGTGAAGACGCGTCTTGGGCCCAAGCCATTTAGGACTTTTGTACCTTGAGTCACACTTGGGAGAAAGCAGGCAGCCAGGGCAATTTGGAGGATGATGCACTTATTCCCTGTGGCTCAAACCACTTAGTGGTTGAGCCGATTAATTCTGTGCTCATGCAACCTTGGAGGGTTGTCTAAGGTTAGCTCCAGACAGACTTGCACATTGTAATAATCCAGTACAGCACTCCTAGGTGCATGGCTCTGGGAAACAGAGATAAGAAATCAAAGAACCTTTCCCAGACTGTTTGGGAAAGGCAAAAAAAAATTTAAGACTTAATTTTTTTGGAACAGTTTTAGGTTCACGGCAAAATTGAGGGGAAGGTACAGAGATTTCCCATATACCCCCTGTTCCCATACATGCATAGCCTCCCCTATTATCAACATCCCCCACTAGAGTGGTACATTTGTTACAACTGATGAAGCTACATGGACACATCCTCATTACCCAAAGTCCATAGTTTACCTTAGGCTTCATTCACTCTTGGTGTTGTACATTTTATGGGTTTGGATACATGTATAATGATGTGTTTGCATCATTTTAGTGTCCTACAGAATATTTTCACTCTCCTAAAAAGCTTCTATGCTCTGCCTTTTCATCCCTCCCCCTTCCCGCAACACCTGGCAACCACTGATCTTTATACTGTCTTCATAGTTTTGCCTTTTCCAGAATGTTGGAATTATACAACATGTAGCCTTTTCAGATTGGCTTCTTTCACTTAGTAATAGGCATTTAAGTTTCCTTTATGGCTTTATAGCTTGTTTCTTTTTAGCACTGAATAATGTTTCATTGTCTGGTTGTAGCAGTTTATTTATCCATTCACCTACGGAAGGACATCTTGATTGCTTCCAAGTTTTGGCAATTATGAATAAAGCTGCTGTAAACATCTGTGCGCAGGTTTTTGTGTGGGCATAAATAAGTTTTCAACTCCTTTGGGTAAATAGTGCAAAAATTTTTTGAGAGACTTATTTTAGTTTTTGTTTATACTTTTTTCTTTTAATAACCTTAAAACTCAACCTATGATCAGATAAAACAGTATCCACATGGGTCATCTTTTACAAAGTTCTTTTGCCTTCTCTTTACATATCTGGGTTTTCAGATCCCTCTGATTCTTCTTTTACAGTTTCCCTGAGCATTGCCCCTTCCTCTTAACTCCCATTTCTTTTACTTCCTTACGTTTGTTTCAGATTATAGCAGGAATATCTGAGCTGATCGTCCCTGCCTCCTTCCTATTGCTACAATAGCCTTATTAAAGCACTGTTTTCCTCAGGAGATCCATTTCCTCAAGTCTAGATACCTCCTGTGGCATAAGGGACTTCCATGATCCAATTCTCTCTTTCATCCTTAAACTTTGAAATTTATTTCCTAGAGATCACCTAACCAGTCCTCTCTGGTTCATGATTCTAGGATGTTTTCTCCAAACCCCACCTTCCTTGTACTTAGTGAGCCAATTCAGACAGGACACAGAGCATCATTAAATTATAGGGATTCATGTTACATTGTGAATGTGCAATGGGCTAACCTGGGCTAACACAGATGGATCTGTAAATAGAAAGTATTGATCAAATATTAAGCACTGGTACCTTCAGGTTTCTCCCAGCCTCTCCAAGTTGCCACTTCTGCACAAGACAGAGGAATAGAGGTCAGACACTTGGCCCTTTCTCTGAACAGTCGTCAGGCGCTGTTGTATACTTTTTCATTCTGCTGTTAGAGGATTTGATGTCTCGATTTTTCTAGATAAGCAGGATTTAGGGTGTGTTTCCTACTCATTGTCTTTCACTAGGGAACTTGCCATCTAGTACTTTGGTGACTTGTCTAAGGTCACTGACCCAGTAACTGAGAGCTGGGAATCCTGGCTCCCAGTGTCCTTGTCGTTCACTGTACTACAGGTAGCGGAGACGCCAGGCTGAGTCAGGTGCTCAAATGGCACATGCTTGGTCTGCTGTCTCTTTTTTGTTGTTGTTTGGAGTTTTTTTTCAAGGATTCAGATGCTTTTTGTGTTTTGAAGAAGGGAGCAGGCACCAATCAAGAAGCTCTTCAAAAAATTAACATTTAAGTGAAGATAGCCTTTGCCCTCAAGATTACATTCATCTAGGCAAGTACAGTGTTGAGTGTATCTGGTGAATTAGAACATATGCCCAGAGTGTAGTGTGGAAGTACTTTAATAAATAAAGATATATTTCAGCAAATATCCACGTATAACCTAAACTAAGAAAGCCAATACTTCAGTCATGTTACACATCTCCCCACTGTCAATGTTAATAGCGCTCCCTGTTATAGTACCTTAAAATAATTTGTCTGTAAGCATGAGAATTGAGATAACATTCATAGAGATTAGCAGGCATGCTATTAATGAATCTAAATGTCTTACTCTTTGTCAGTGGGGGCAGAGTATTGTTTCTCAACTGTTAGTGGAGAACATACACAGAGGAGTTGAGAAGAAAGAAAGCCGCCATTTTAATACATGATCGATCAATCAATTTGAATGTGCCCTGTGGGAGTCCCGTTTGGTTTCTGGTTTTCCAGCAAGCACTGGGATCACTACATCGATTTTTCCTCTACTTGACAACGTATGTTTAAAGTATTATGTGGGAGGGCTGTTTCCACACCAGCCACTCTGGGTGACTAATTGTGTTTCATAAACCACAGCAGTGTCGTTGTTTTCACACAGTAATGACTCGTCTTACTGTTTCTTTGATTTAGTTCTTAAATGTTAGAGTGTAGTAGCATTAAATTCAGGAAATGGAATTTTAATTAGTGGTTAAATAAGCTGGAATTCTTGGTGTATATTCATCAATTTGTGTTGTGCACAATTACTGGGATAAGCAAAATTTAAAAAGCAATTCTAAAATGGCTACCCGATCATCTTTGGTCCCTGATTTTGGTCCATTCGTGTGTCCAGGGATAGGTGGGTGTCGGTAGCAGGAGCCCCAGAGTTCCCATCAAGAGACCCCTGACTGGCTGTTGACTTTGGGCAGACCATTTGAGTTCTCTGTCTTAATCACCTCAGGTAAAATGCCCCATGTGCAGTTTTCTGTCTTCTCTGACCTGCACTCCTAAGGGCTCTGGAGAGGGGAAGACCTGTTACATTTCCACAGTTAGTTGTTTACCTCTTCTCATACTCATGGAATGCATTAGAATTTTCTAAAATGTGTACTCAAATTACGGCTATAAAATGGAAGGCCGCATGCGATGGTGGTGATGAAGAGCGAACCCTTACGCAGTGATACACATGCCAGACTGCTGTGAGCACTCTGCGTGCGATGACCTTGTCCCTGACGAATGTTCCTCTCTTGCTGTCCATGGCATCCGATTGTGCTTTATGATCTTGTATCTAGTGAGATTGTGGGCTAAACTAAGACTTCCGCTCCCTTCTAGGTATCATTTATCACTGTGATCTTACCAAAGAGGAACTGGAGCCAAGAGTCTTCCGAGAGGTGACTGTGAAGGGAATCGATGCTTCTGATTACCAGACAATCCAGGTATGGAGCATTTGATCTTGATAATGTGCGAGTTAGAAAATCTGACTTTCCAGCTGGGCCATTCACACGCTAGCTTGTCAGGAGCCGTGGAGGTAATCCATAGTGATACGGAGGACAGATATTTTTGGAGCTTCTGCTGTTTCTGGGCATTGAGCCAAGCACAGTCCTGCCCTCCTAGAGCCTGCAGGTTCTGCTCCCGTAGCTGCTACTCTTGACAGGAAGCCAGAGTCCCGTGTCTGGGGGATGTTACTGCAGTAGCTATCAAAGCCACACAGTTTGTCTGCTTGCTTGGAAGTGGTTGTGTTCTAGCTCAGGTCTGTGGTGTCGTAAATAACAATACAGATTTGCTATACATAAAGTATTTACTCAAGTGCTGTGAGTCAGTCGTTTCAGCCTGAAGTTCATATGTATTTCTGCCTGGCACGCCGTGAAGTATTAGAAGGAATGAATTAACTAATTAATTGTCAGGGCACCACAAGCTCAATCTCTGGTCACCCTCCTTTCAGGTTAAGAACCTCTATTTTTGTTTCTTCAGCTTCCCAAAGGTACTGAAAGACACTGAATCACTTGTTGATTGAGGATGTCTCTGTTCCTTTGCAATGAGAGGTCACCTGTCAGGTACGAGGTGTTGATCAGGACTCTCCTGGAGGGCTGGACCACACCAACCACACATTAGGAGTCAGGACGTTGTTTGTGAAGGAAGATTAAAACAAAGAGCGTGGAATTCTCCCAAGAATGTTTCTGTGAAACTCCAGCATTATTTTAGCTTGGTAAATTACCCTTCGTCTGTCTAGAGCTAGTCTAGATGATGGGCTAGATCTCAATCATACATAAATAAAGCTTTGTACAAAAACCAATGGTGGCTGGATGTGGCCCAGGGCTACAGTTTGCCAGCCCTGTTCTATGTCAGGAGTCAGCAGACCGGCCTCTGGTTTTATTGGAGAACAGCCACGCCCATTTGTTTACATTGTGTCTGTGCCACTTTATCACTTTAACAGGGTGGGTGCCACAGAGACTGTATGGCCCACAAAGCCTAAAGTACTTCGTACTTGGCCCTCTAAGAAAAAGTTGGCTGATCCCTGGTCTATATAAATAGTATTTATAACGTCGGAATGTTCTAGTAGGTGCATAAATATTTTTTTCAATCAATAATAGAAATAAATATAACAGACTTCTAGCCTTCTGTATCTATTCTGGCCTGCTTCTTGTTTCATTTTCAAGGTGAGCCATTACCTGGAGAGATGTCTTGTAGGAGCTTAGAGCCCCTGTCTGGTGCTAACGTGGTTCATTAATTCACCCTTGTCCTGTATTAGACTTTTAAAATCACTTTTAGGCCATCATTCTTTGCTGTTTTCCCTTTTGTCCATGTGTAGAAAATTTGTCCCTATCATTTGTAACATTTGGCCTTCTCAGGGCCTGATTCTAGTCCTTGCCTGACATCCCCAGGGCCAGGGTGTGTGTGTGCATGGGCGTGTGTGCACATGTGGGCGCCACTGCCTCTCCCTCTGCCATCAGTAATGCCCAGGATGCCTGGGCAGCACCCAGTGACTGTCCCCTCTTTTGCTCTCAAGGGTGCAGCCTGGCTGCCCTAGACTTGGGCAGAGTTGCCCACTTGAGATCCCCTGTCTTCTCCTCATCTCTGCTACACGGTCCCCTCAGCTCTTCTCTCTTTTCTACCTTCCCACAAGCAGTTGGTGCCCCTTGTACAATTACATTTGGAGTTTGGGGGAGGGAGGGGCACCTGTAATGATGACGGCTGCCGGGGAGGCTGCTTCTTACAGGGAAGTGACTCTTCTCAGTGACAATGGTTAGAGTTGTGTCTCCTATTAAGTGGCCGTTTTTGTCTATTCTGATGATAGTAATATTCTTTACAGGTGACACACAAAGAAACTAATTACCACCTAATATGTATTTTTTTCATTTATAAATGAAAAGATAAAACTTCACATCCTGGCAAGTGCTTGTGTGGAGTAGGAATCTCTCAACCATGTCCATAGCAGCCTGAAATTTCCAGATTTAACTGGGGAGGAAATGTGCTTGCGTGCTGCCAGTCACCTGTGTCGTTGGAAAACTGAACTCCTGCCTGGCTGTCCACTTGACAAAGAAAACTTCCCTGATGTTGAACTACTCAAATACTTACAACGTTTTATTTGTACTGCTGCAGGAGGGGGAAAAAAGAAAGACTCATGGTAAATTTTTAAAGAGATAGTAAAGGAGAGAACACATGGGTTTACAGATCTTAATGCACTGCTCCTCCTTTCCATGTTTTAGAAAGTGGAGATATGATTGTGGGCAGAGTATAGCCTCTATGTATAACGCCAATAGAAGATTTGTATCTGTTGGTTATACACATCATACATATTGCACTGAGTTATTAGAATAGAATTCTTTCAGTGTGAAAAGGTGCTTTTGAAATGCACTGTGAGGTCACAACACCCTAGACTTGTGTCACTCAAAATCCATTTTGCAGCGTTGTAGATTCAAGTGTGTGCAGCAGAGCTCTGACATGAAACATGAGTGTGACACATGTCTCACATGTTGATTAGGCTCTCGGCGGGGTTGCCAACCATAACCTACCCTTATAGAAGCAGACCCTAGAGAGGGATTTGTGCATGGAAGGAAAACATCCTGATGGTGTGTAATAGAAACCACAGCATTTTGAAAAAAGATATTCTATTTTTGTTTTCAGTCACTTTAGGGTAATGGCGCTTGTGATTGTACTTGACCCTGGTGTTTATATTTATTCTGAATGTGATTTAAAAAAAAGAACCCCTGGGCTATTTGTCACTCCCTCTTGCATTCTATGAGGCACGTGATCGTTTTGAAGCAAATACTGCAGCACGGATTACCCTGCATGGTTGGTCAAGGCAATTAATGGTGGTCATGACCATGAACATCTACCTGGCAGTGTAGCTGGTAAGAGAGACCAAGCCAAGGAAAGAGAAAGGGGGTCAAAGAAACAGAGGGCTAAAGAAGCCACAGAGGTCTGTCCTCTGTGTGATGTGCATTCTCTCAGGACTCAGAGCACCTCGAATGGGCAAGGTGAAGGGTATGGTGTCGTATTTTGCTGATAGACACGGAACAAAGCTGCTGTCTCTATAGCCTCTAACGATTCCTAATTACAGCTATGAGCAGAAAATTGATCTGTATCAGAAATATAATTTTGAAAATCAGATCCTGGAAAAACTGTTCATATCTCTTCCAATCTGGAGTACCTACAAGAATTTAGTTTTAGGTAGGTTTATCAAATCTGCCATTGACTAATCTTTTTCCTGCTTTTTATTGTGAATGACATGACCATAATATTGATTAGAACCTCTGTGTCCATGTCTTTTAAAAAGTTGAAATACTGAGCATCAGAAATTACATTTGTGAAACAGGTTTGATGATAAGTGATTTACCTGAAAAATATGTCTACATTTATAACCAGTAATATGTTTTGTTTTAAACAAAGTGAAGTAATAGGGAAATGGTAGTTAGTCTGTCAACAAATAATTATGACATGACATGCAATGCCAGGTACTATTTGAATACAGAGACATGCCAGACACAGGGACTGTCCCTCGGAAATTTACAGTCAGACTGAAAAGTTGAAACACACAGATTTGGAAGATCAGACACCCCAAGGATGTTATCACAATGATCAAAGGAAAGGTGCAGGCTTCGGTCAGCACTGTGGTGTTAGAGATTGTCCTGGCCGGGGTCAAGGAGGACATCTTTACAGGAGAGGTGGAAATCGGGTAGGGCTTTGAGGGATGGGTGTTTTCACGATTCCCAGTTCCCTACTGGTGGTGGTCCCCAGAACCACCAGTGTTCATTCAGAGACTGCCTTTTCACAGCAGTGTAATTTCATAATTTCATAGGAATTTCAAAAAGAAAGGAATCACACCCTCAGTATCCTGGGCAACAGGTTGCCTTTGGCAGTTGTCTTTTGTGGATAGAATAGTGTTTGCACTGTGCTTGAATGTGGCATGACAGAGGAATGTAGTGTAGCAAAAGTGTACTTTTTGGTTTCTCAGTATCTCATTTTTGTTCAGCCAGCTGAGAGAGTGGCTTTTCTCCTCCCAAAATGAAAGACAAAATTTATAGACCTGAAAAAGAATGGTGAACTATGAATAAACTCCATTAACAATAGTTTCTGCATTTTATAAAAGACAATACATCAGAAGAAAAATCCAACTTTATGGGGCAAAAGCAAACTTAAATCAGTATACAATCATGCATCATTTAACATAAGGGATACATTCTGAGAAATGCATCATTAGGTGATTTCGTCGTTGTGTGAACATCATAGAGTGTGCTTATGCAAACCTAGATGGTATAGCCTACTATATGGTATAATCTTATGGGGCCGCTGTCATGTATGTGGTCCATCATTGACCAAAAAGTCATTATGCAGTGTGTGACTATAGAACGAAAATAATAAGAATTATAAGTATTTAACGTAGATTTTATTATCTTGATTCCTGTTCTGTTATCCTTAATAGAAATTTTACTTTTCTGAGGTTTACCTACAGTAATGCATATGAGACATCAAGAACATCCCAAAGGTGATTTGCCATGTAGCTGAACAGAAATAGTTAAAATTAGATGATTCTTTGGGTTTACCAAGATGCCTTGGGAGGGGAAGTAGAAAGAGTGGGAATATGTTTTCTTTAATTCAGTCTGGATTTTTCTAACCTTGGTAATAACCAATTTGTGGTTGCTAGCATACAGGCTTTGCCATTCAGAGAACATGTTCTCAGAAGATTAATTAGTGTTTTAATACTCATTAACTTCTTTGCTGAGCACATGGCACATATGGTTTTTGAATATTAACTCATCCGTGTCCTTGGTGAGTTCATTGTTGAACTAGTGATGATATTTTTCTATAGCACTGTGTTCTCACCATTAGGTATAGGTCAGAAATCTTTAGAACATGTTAGTGAAGAGCGAATGGGGAAACGTGCAGAAAGAACTTTTTGAGGGGTTACTGTGCTTGCATATGATTAGGAAACTGC